AACAATTTCAAACTGTCACAGACACGCAGCTGGCCAAAACTTCATATACTATTACCTATACAGGATTTGAACAAGACTTAAGCATGTTAAAGCATTCAGAAAAGCAGACGCTAAATACAGACCACTCTCTAAATTTTATTCATTGGCCAAGGGCCAATTAGAATTTTAAAATATATTTCATATGCTACAGTTTGCCTTTTTCTGCACTACAGAACCAAACTGCAGTTGATTGTGAAGTAGTTGATATGGATGTCAGCAACACTAGTAGAACTTTTTGTTCTTTTACCCACAATATTACAGCCATATATTAAGAAGGTAATTTATTTCAAGTATCACTATAGATAATTTCTAGCTAGAACAGCTTTTCAAAGTTACCACAGCAAATGATCTGGATCTGTGTATATCGTTTTTTTTCCCCTTAGATTATAAGGGGAAATACACAACTTCATTAACGATCACTGCCAACTGGATGGTTTACATGGATTCTCTAGCATCCACGGATTGCATTCTTTTTACTGTTTTTGAATAACTGTTATAAGAGGATATCAGAAGTGTTAAGATTTGTGGTAGCTCAAGGTTTCAGCAGTTTCTGAACTGCAGAAGAGGGTACTGAAAGAACAAAAAAGAAACTACTGCTCAGCAAGATGTGACAATATAAGGTACAGCTTAAAAGACTGTGCAGTTCTCCAAAGGAGCAGGTTATCTTCCAATACTTCAAGGGAGGGGGAAGGCTGTTTACAAGGGTGGATAGTGATAAGACAAGGGGGAATGGCCTTAAACTGAGGCTGGAGAGGTTTAGTTTAGATATTAGGAGGAAGTTTTTCCACACAGAAGGTGGTGATGCACTGGAACAGGTTGCCCAGAGAGGTTGTGCTTGCCCCGTTCCTGAAGGCATTCATGGCCAGGCTGGATGTGGCTCTGGGCAGCCTGGTCTGGTGGTTGGCACTCTGCACATAGCAGGAGGGTTGAAAATAGATGATCATTGTGGCCCTTTTCAACCCAGGTCATTCTATGATTCTATAATGTCTTTCATTATCTTCAGACATTTGAGGCATTAAAAACAGAAGTATGTGCCCAACCAAAAAATTAGGAAAAAAAACAAAGACTACCCATTAACTACTTGAGTAGTATTGGTGTCATCAACAGCCGCCTTTCAGGAGTGAGAGAGGCAAAAGGTTTATAGAAAATAGAAAAAAGGCAGATAATGAATTTTTGTTGCCTTTTGGTCCCAAGAGCATGGCTGTCATCCCTAGCAAAAGAATCAACAAAAGAAACAGATTTAAAAAGAAAAAAAAGTCTACAACTTCTGCTCAAAGCTGATGCTGGAAACCCCCGTCATACGCCACAGGATCTGTCCAGCTTTATCAAAAGCATATAGACCCTTTTTAGGCACCTTCAGATAAGAAATAACAGACACTAGAGAAGGAGTAAGTTCCAGCATCATAAATGGCAAGAGAAAGAATGTTGTAACAGTCTTAAATTAATTGCCCTCCTTCAGATTGGCAGTGGAACACACGACAAGAATCAAATCACCCTTAAAATCCATAGGATCAACACCATGCTTCTCCAGCAAAATTATTCACAGATTTTCCTGCTTGTTACTCTCAAATCATTTTAAACAGCCCTATCTTATTTAAGCAGATAAATATCTGTATCACTGTTTTATCTATTTATTTTAGTGCAGTAAAGAAGTAAAATCATGGAGCCAAAAAATCCAGCAGCGTTAACACAAAAATCTGGTCCAAATGTGGCCTAAGAGAGAAATCCAAATCCATAATCTTTTTACATTGCAAGCCATTAATTAATTACTGAAATGAAAACTGCTCAACTGTTCTTAAAGATTTCATCTCTTTGAAAGAGTAACAAGAGTTGAAGAAAGTATTAAAGTGTTTATACAAGAAAAAAACAAAAGCCAAGTAAAATTCTTTAAAACTCACATTTTAATATAAAAAACCTACTTCAAATGCTTATTTCTAACACAGTCTCTAGTTAGCCACAAGAGCCTTGAATGTATTACCAAAAATTACACAAAATGGCTAGGAACACAGGCTTATTGTTGCCTTTTTTGTTGCTTTTTAAACTAGGCAAATGAATCTCAGCTATGAAAGGTGGAAGGCCTATTAATGAATCCATCAAGACAGAGTACTACATACTCCATACTCTATAGCTGTTAATTTCAATCAATTTGCTTAGCAATTCATCATAATACTTCACCTAAATAGATCACACATTAATGATAAATGCCAGAAGTGGAAGGAGCACCTCTTCTCTTCCTTGCAGCAACCACTAATTGAACCCAGCAGTTCACTAATATCAAAATTACACAGTTATTACCCTGTCAAATAACTATTTTCCTTTTCCCTCTTTTTTTCCCCCTCATCTAGAACTTTTCTCTAAAACACGGAAACTATAATTCTGATGACCAGCTGTTCTAAACCAGAAATAAATCCTACCACCTGCAGACAAGAAAAAGAATGAACAAATGAAATATGTAGATACGGGCAAAACAGCATTGATTTACTCATACTATTCTTCTTTTTTGTCTAGGTAGACCTGTGTTGTTTACAGGTTTGAAATACTCATGTACACGGAACAGAAACAAGAGCAGAAAATCCAATAGCAAAGTGTAAAAATAAAGAAGTCATTGAGATTTAAAAAACAAAAAACAAAAAAGCTCACTCCTTATTTAGCAAGAGTCTCAGGAGAAATCAACAATTAGAGACTTCATTTAGCAGCATTAAAGGTGGAATCCTAAAAACCTCAGAGCCCAGAAGAAATATCACCACAGGAGAACCCACCAGTATTCTATCTTTGTAACATTCACATCTGAAGATTACAGAAAATTTCTTGCTTTTTTTTTTTTTTTTTTTTTTCCTCAACAAGATAATGACCAATGGTGTAACTGCGTTTTGCAGGAGAGAGAGGAAGAACAGCACCTTGAAAGCAGCAGTAGTCTCTTACCCAAATCAGCAAATCTGACTGCCATAATGTACATTTTGGGAAGTGATTCCATTCACTGCTGACTTTAAGCAATGTCTGCAGAAGAATTTGAGTTGACAGTAGTATGCAACATCTATCTGAAGCACAGAACTACTTGCAGAGCAGGTTGCTCTTAAGAACTACACAAACCAAGTTATTCATGTTGAAATAGTAAGCCAGTTCACTCTCTTAATTTTTAATTCTGTATGAGACCTGAAAAGACTTTTTGTTTGCAATGACTAATAAGCAACTACATAAGCCACTTTATTTAAAGGAAAGATTTGTATAAAATATGTCTTTACTGTGGTAAGTACGAAACAAAACCCAAGATTTTTGGGAAGGAAAATACATTCCTTTCCAGTGCTCTGAAAGGAAGTCTAAATTCCCAGGAAAAGATAGGAAGGAGGAATGAGATTCTCTTCTTTCTTCATCTGAAAACGCGAGAAACTTACCCTGCAGGACAAGTCAACATCCTTGTATGACATGCATACATTAACTTCAGCATCTACAAGGGCATGCTGTTCATCAGTCCCTTCATCATTACATGAAACACCAACAGTTTGTGTTCCACTGAAGGGAACAGACTATAAGATTAACTCATGCTTAACCGCACATTACGTTTGTCAGTATATTCACATTTCACATATTTTGCTTTGCTTAAGAGGAACCCTACTTTAAAACAAAGCAATTCCTCCTGTGGAGATGAAAAGAGAGGCCTCACTGCCAACTCAATCACACTATGATAGGACAGGATCTTCAGGCCATTAAATCCTTCAGTACAACTTGTTTATTTCTTCCTTCTTTGGTTAATGGATCAAAAGTATTCAGAAAAATAGTCCCAGGACACGTATTCAAGCCATTGTACTATTTCAACCTCAGAAACAGGACAGGAAAAAGCTACTTCGCCAGTCTAATGAATATCCACATTGAATTACCAAGGCCAGTACTTATTCAGTATTTTTGTTTAAATCCTTTTTTTTTTTTTTGTTTGCTGAGACAATCTTGTAAACTTTTATTATGAAAAAAATCAGCATCTTTTGTCATTATTCAAAAAGATGAAAACTTGCATGACTTCAACCAGGAAACCAATTAATTTGAGGAAGGCTAAGAAATTAACTGTCCCTTATTAAGGGATTCTGTTATTACTTAAAAAGCTTCCTGAATCCTTATAAAGTCACTCCAGAATAATAATCAACTCAAAAAAAAAAATCAAAAACAAACAAACAAACAAACAAACCACAACAGAAAACACTACACACCTTCCTTCACAAAACTTCACCAAGGTCAGTTTTTTACTCAGTATCAATCTTACAACTCAATAAAAATAAATGTGTTACACAGATTCTTCCAAACCTGATTTAATTTTTGAAGCTCTGTTCCCATATTTGATGAACTACAGCAAACCATAACATGGAGCATACACAGAGTTGACCGGTAAAATAGGAAGGGTTTAATCACACATAAAGGAGCATTGTGTAGTACTGATCAAGAAGCACAGTAAATCTCTTTATTCCAAGACATAGATCTACATTTCTTTGTTGTTTTACTTTATGGCACTCAATCTTTTGGGATAAAAAATTTAAGAATGTTTCTATTAGTGAAAATTCATCTGAAGTAATATCTATACACAAACAACATGAGCTCTGTAGTATTTCTTTTACTGAATGAAAACATTTCAAACACTTACGCAATGTTGATTCATTTGTATGGTTACTGTGAATTGTATGTCTCAATGTCCTAATCTCAACTGCAATTAAAGCACAATTTCTGGCTCTTCTACAGCGAAATAAACACTGAAGAGATCATCTGTGTTATTGTTACAAAGGCCTGCAAAGCTTCACGTGCATTTGTTTCCTCCACAATGCCATTTTATGCCGTAACTGTTGACTGATGCAATAGTGCAAAATAAGCAATAATCTCATTTCTCAATAAGTCCTTAATATGATTGCTTTAAACTCCATTATATTCCATTCAAAGTAGCTATTGACAAATGTGTTAAACAAAGAAAACAAAATGAATACCTCAGTCTGACCTTCATGGGCACTGGATTCATGAGTGACACGAATTGCCTAAAATTGAAGTACATTTCAATCAGATTTTACATAAGGTATTATTACTTATATTACTTTAAGAATCAATGTATACTCTTCTTTTTAATCAAATGCTATAGCTGTAAGTTCTTTTGTTCAGTGCTTATAATAGACAGGTAAAGAAATTAGATAACAAATATCTCCACTTCCAAGGAGAAATTTCATCAGACTCAAGTCAACTCAAACATGTAACAGTTTGTAATTGCTCTTTAACACACAGTAAACAGTGGTTTTGTTAAGAATCAGTTCCTGGCTTAAATAAACTCAACACTCAGGTAGAAGCTGTGATTGGACATCTTGTGTCTAGCATTTCCGCAAAACATTTTATTAAATCTCTACCATTCTTGCTTGCTAGTACTTCCCTCAGTCATATTTAACATCCTTATTTGCAAGAGTGTCACAATAAGGTTGAATTGAACTCAATCTTGCAAGTTCTTACATTATTAATTTTGACAGGTGATCATTACCATCATGAGCAACAGCACTGTTCTGACCTTCTGTCAATGGCTAGATCTTCCATCACATCCTCTGAATCAGCACTGATAATGATGCAACTAACCACACTATCGGCTCACTCATCTAATTGTCAGGTATTATGAGGGAAGAGAGAGGATATTTCAGTTGAACTGGTTCCTTGTGTACTACAGCTAAAGGCATAAATGGACGGAGGAAGCAGGACTGTCCTTTCAGTCCACTCTGCTGGCAAGTACAAATACTTCAAACTACCAAAGCAGGTATTTTTGCAGCAACTGATCACAAGCTCACACAAACTCTTATTGTTTAAGTAATTTACTAGATCACGCCCCAAGACAGTACTTGGTCATGCAAATTCTTACATTGTTTAAAAAGAAGAAAAAAAAAATACCAACTTCGTAAGTTTCTAGATATTTGGCCCTCTCTTCAGGAGTCATAGATAAAGAATCTTCTAGGAACTTTTTCAATGATGAATTGGTTTCTTAAATATAAAAAAAGACATACGTTAACATATTTTGTATCATGCTTTAGCTCCTACATCATTCAAATCTTACAGATTGCTTGAATCCAATAAAAGATTTAAAGATATAATTACACTTACAACATGAACGCCTACTACAAGAGGAATTGCTACCTGCTGCAGATTGAAGTGTTTTGAGTGCTCTAGACTTGAATTAGTGTGAAATACTGGTTTTATAATTATAGGCAGAAGCACTCTTTCAGTAGAGATGCACAGAGAAAATAGTATACAGCCTGTCAGTCCCTCCATATCTTCCCCAGTAGTAAGGAAAAAAACAGCAATACAGCGGAAACAACCAAGCAACCAAATAACACTTACCAAAGTTCATTTTCTCTCTGTTGTTGGCAATAGCATGAATTAGCCCAATTGTCCCACAGGCATTGTTGATAGTTTGCTTCATGAAATACACTGATGATTTGACATCTTGCCCCTTAGCTTTTATCCTCTCCTCTTCTTCTGTTCTGAAGGTTTCATACTACAATTAAAGTTTCAGAATTTTCAAAAACAGTATAGATACTGGCTATGTTATCCAAAATGCAAAAATAATTTGCATAAGTAACAGCTGCCTCATAAAACCAAAACCCATTTTGCAACTCTTAACAGAACCAGCTTATGTATACTTGCTCAACTGAAAAACTCAGCATCACATCTATATCAGAAAAAAAAAAGTCACACTTAAATGATCACTTTGAAATATGTATTATCTAATGGTATTTCAAAAATGTTCAAAATATTTCCTTGATTTGAGCACCAGTCAGTCTCTCTTTACATCAACAACAAGTTTTTAAGGATAGAGGTCTCAAAAGCATTATCAAGCGAACTGTAATACTTCACATGTTTAACAAGTATGAAGCATTCTTACAAGTTCTATCTTTTTATACTACACTTTCATCCAGGGATATTAAGATTCATATAATGCTCACAGCTTCAAAATTGCTCTTTAAAAGCCATAATCATAAGGTAAACGTTTATTTTTCTGTAGTAATAAAAACAATTTAGTTTGATTCAACAATCTCAAATACTACTGTAAAGCTTATCATTGATTAAGAACTAGCAAAGAAAATCTCTTATGTTGTGCAATGGGCTTTTTTCCCTCCCAAGATGACACTTCAAATAGAAAAGGATGATAAAAAAAGACAACAAAACCAATGTAAATGTTATAGAAGATGCTGCTATTTCCTCCTTTTGCCTAGCTTAGGTCATCTTCAGGCACAAAACACTGAATTAGGTGGACTTTTTATGTAATTATGATGAATTAGAGTTTGAATGTTGAACAGAATGAGGAATGTATGAAAATTTTCTCAGTCAATAACAGACAAATTTTTCCAGCATAAGGATTGTACTCTGCAGCTTATCTCAATGTTCTGAACATTCTAAATAATAGCAAGTGCATTCAGAAAGCATTTTAAATTGAAACCACTTATCAACAAATTAATAAGGAAAGTCTTAATTAAGGAAAAAAATGTCATGGAATGTATTATACAGATCAGATTAGAGAAACAATACAGCTTCCAATCATTCCCTGTCAAAAAAAAATCATTGCTGAGAATACTAAAAATACAACTTTGAGCAAGGACTGACCCAGATCACCTCAAGAGTTTGCTTCCAGTATGGGCCATCCCTTGATACAGATTCACTGGAACAGGCTCAAAATGCCCAAGACTTACACTGTTCCACTCTCTACAACCTACAATGCAGACTAAGCAAGTCATTAATCTTTAAACTAGACAATAACCCTAAGATTATCTGTATACTAACAAGGGTATCCAGCCCTAAAAGCAAACTGATACATACTGAGGGGAAAAGAATGGGTGGGAGTAAGCAGTAAAAATATATATATACTCTTCCACCTTAAACCAACTGTCCAAGAAATAAAAGCTATATTGATGCTGATGACTGAATTGAAGATGATTGAAGTTGCATCAGTGGAGCAAAACAAAAACTCAAGAAATACTTGCAATTGATAATGTTCCACACTCCACTGTGCTCCTGCTATTGAAGCCTTCTGCTAAAAGTAGCAGAACTGTGCCATTTCAGAGTGCAGTTTAAATTTTTGAATTGTCCACAAGAAAAAACTACTTGATGTTTCTCTTCTCCCCAGTCCAATTAAAACACTTGAAGATAAACTGGAAATATACACATAAGGTTATCAAAAGAAAGTTATGAAATAAGCATTCTGTTGTTTGTTTCTAATCAAGAGGTCTCTGAATAAAATTTAACTCTCATTTTGATTCTGACACCAAGGCACAAGGTTCGCATAACAGTTTGAGTTGGAAGGAACCTTAAAAATCTTCTAGTTCCAACCTCTCTCCCATGGCCAGGGCTACCCTCCACTAAATCAGGTTGCTCAAACTCTCATCCAACAGATCATTCCCATTTCACTTACAACAAAAGTGATCAGCTCATTACTAAATAAACATTTACCTTTTCTGTTATTGGAAAGAGAAGAAGCACTGCACATACAGGTCTTGGCACCATGCTAAGCAGCTCCGGTTCCATACCATAGACATCTACAAATTGCCAGTCCGGATGTATACCCAACTGCTTGAGAAACTGGAAAAGAAGATACCGAGTAATACTAAGTGAGCAGTCAAACATACATAAGAAGCATAATTAAGCATTTGCAATGTGAAATACAACACCATACACTTTCCAAAATCTTAAAAATAATAAATAAATTAAATTGTGCTACATCAGGCTGAACAGTGCTAACAAAGACACACAAAATCCCAATGTTTTACATGTCATATATAAAGCTTAAATAGCTTTATGAAATGAAAGAAGCAAGCACTATTTACTAAGACATTAAACCCATTCTGAAAGGGTGGGGGTTTTTTGTTTTTTGTTTTGTTTTGTTTTGTTTGTTTGTTTTCTTGTTTGTTTGTTTTTTTTGTCACCCATTAAATACTGAATATTCACCTTAACTGGAAATCATAGGTCAGAGCATATATGAAGAAACTTGTGACATTACTTCATACCACGAGTACTTCAGAATATCTGATGCCAGATGCTTATATTGCAGGTGTTGGGCTCCAGTAATTCAAAACTGGGGTCTTTGGTGGTGTTGTGGTTTTGTGTTTTTGTTTTTTTTTTTGTCAGTATTCCACATCAGAACACCATGTGGACCAGTGGGAGTTAAAGAGTTAATGTTCTGATTCCGTTAACTGCCTTTTTATGGCATTTTGAGTATCCAGGTCGGAGGGGAGGACCTGGCGGGAAGAGGAAGGGGGGCGGAGCTCCGGAGGACCCCAGACTCTGCCTCTCCCTCTGGCCCACGCTCAGCCGTCTCAGCTTGCTGCGAAGAAGAGCACGTGCTTCCCTCGCACTATCGTGGTTTATCTCGTACTTTGGGTACTCTTGTCTCTCTCATTTTGTTTGATTCGGTTAAATTTAGTGAATTACCGTTTGTTGTCGGAACGGTCAGATCGCTGCTGTTGTGTTTTCTCTGTTAAAACTACCTGCTAGCTTTCTACCCTTCCCCCTCTCCCAGTGCGCGGCCCGGGGCCAGCCGAGTGGCGCGGCAAGCCGTTAGTACCCCGTCCTTTTTTTTTTTTTTTTTTTTTATATTCGCCCCTTTTTTTTTTGGGGGGGGGGTTTTTTTTTTTTTTTTTTTTTTTTTTTTTTTTTTTTTGTGTTTTTTTTTTTTTTTTTTTTTTTTTTTTTTTTTTTTTTTACTTTTTCCCGGGGCCTGTGCCCCCCTGTCACGGACTTGCATATAGGGATAACCCCGTGACAGATGGTCTTATGAACAGAGACAAAAACACACCTTTCTGTAGGTGTACCTTTTAAGATGCCCTTTTACGTTTCTTGAAATCAGGAATACTTTGAAATTACGACGGAGTAACATACTTTGAAATAGAGTAATAATCACAGCTCTTCAAGTAATTCTCTGTTGCTTCTTCAGAACCTCTGAAAGGAGTTTAAATCAAAACCTTTTGTCATCTTTTCTATACTACATGCAGACATTGAACTACAAAAAAGTGATTTTGGATCTGTTACCTAACACACTGTTACTTAATAAGGAAGGAAAGAGCAACTATAATATCTATTAAACTTGGACAACCATAACCTAAAACACAAGTGCTTGAGTTTTTTAAACAGATATTCCCTATTTATTAAGGTAAGCTTTGTGTAGAAGCACAGATGGTTAAGGAGGCCATCTGGTCCAACTCCCCAGTTTCAGTAGGGACAGGAAGAGCAGGTTGCTCTGCACCACATTCAAGTGGCTTCTGAAGAACTCCAAAGGTGGAGACCCCACAGTACAGACTGGGCAGCCTGTGCCAGTGCTCCATCACCCACACAGCACTGAAGGGCTTCCTAGTGTTCAAGAGGAAACCCTCATGCTCCAGTTCTTGAAGAGAAAGACTCCCTTAAAAGCTTCATCATACTTCCTATTCAGTGCTATCTGAGGAAACTTCTTTATGGATATACCTGCAGTGAAGATGTTTAAGAAGGCTAAGAAGAGCAAACCCAAGTCATAAAATCACAGAATGGTCTGGGTTGAAAAGGCCCACTGTGATCATGTAGTTTCAACCCCTTTGCTATGTGCAGGGTCACCAACCACCAGACCAGCCCAGAGCCACATCCAGCCTGGCCTTGAATGCCTCCAGGGATGGGGCATCCACAGCCTCCTTGGGCAACCTGTTCCAGTGCATCACCACCCTCTGAGTGAAAAACTTCCTCCTAATATTTAATCTAAACCTTCCCTGTCTCAGTTTAAAACCATTCCAGTCCCCCCTTGTTCTATCACTATCCACCCTTGTAAACAGTCGTTTTAATACTTGGAGATTACAACAGCAACAAAAACTGGTTGACATGAAAATGGACAACAGGATGAGGTTTTAAATGGAAAATGAAGAATAAGGTCATGTAAGCAACTGAAATCAAAATCAAACCCAAGAAAAGTCAACTAATTCAGAACTTTTCAGTATTACCTCACATTTTGTTTCTTAACATGCCATTTTCATACTAATGAATGTCTTCATGTCTTCATACTAATGAAAGTCTTTTTCAATTGCACAATGCTTTATGATATGGAGAAGCTGAATTTTTTTCTGGACTACCAAGCGAAAAAAATTCCATTTAAAATGTGATATATCCAGAAAATTCTTCTCACAATTCTGTTTCTTCAGTGTGTTTAAAAAAAGCTGTACTAACAGACACCTTGTCTTCACAATAAAATTTACGTATTTCCAATGCAATCCACCAAGCAGTTTTGAAACTTTGTGCTCACTATGACCAGGTACTGCTGTACCCTTGAAACAGAATCAGATCAACACAGATAGCAATTCAATCTATAACACAGTAATCTAGACTAACTAGCTGAGTTGGTTTTCCTCTGAAACTACTCTTACTGAACCAAAGCTTCAGAAAACTCTGAGGCTGACTCTGGAGGTAGAGCTATCAGGTCAGAGATTCACAACAGACAATTATGCAATTACGCATTATGCTGGAAAAAAAAAAACAACAAAAAATGTTTCTGCACATCACATGTGCTTTCACTCTGTATGGGAACTGCTAAATCACGGCCTGAGCCTCTGATTAACCACCTGAGACGAACATTGAGTCAGCCCTGGGAGAACAGGTGAAGGTAATTCACCTGTGCTACTGGAAGGGGTGGAGCCTGGCTCCACCTCTCCTATACCCCATTTAAGAGCTCACTACAAATGGAGAAAGATCTCTTTTGGAGATTGTTCCTCTTGGAGACTTCTCAGTGAGCCCAGAATGAGAGTAAGCTTTCCATCTATTCTGCTTTGGCATAATAACCTGTTCAGCCCAACTTTCCTGTATGTTTCTTAATTATAACATCAGTATATTCATTGATTATACACTTGGTGAGCCAGCAGGCCAAATATACTAAAATTTACATAATGTCCTTTCTAGGGAATTTCTAAGAATGAGTCAAGGCGGGAGAACGTCACCCCACTGGATAAAATAATTCTGGAGCAGATTCCAAGATCTGTGGGATCTCCCTATTATGAATTAGTGAATCATTGAGAAATGGGGTCCTCTACACATTATGGGAAATGTTACCCCATATCACATCGCAGACTCTGTTGAGAGGCTTACCAAAGAATAACAATTAGCTGCCTCTGCAGTGGCATGGCCACTATTAAGTGCTTTAAAACATGCTGAAATGAGGAATTATATGGTAGAAAATGAAAACCAACTTTTGAGAGACCATATCAAAAAATTACAGCAAGAACTTGGCACATTAACAGGGAAGAAACCAATTCTGCATCTTCCGATAGGTCAAGTTTTCAACATCTCAATAGACACTGAACAGACTCCTGAATCAGCAGACTTCGCTGATCAGGAAAACAAAAATTCTAATAGATCTCAAAGCTCTGATTGTGACATATCTGCTAGAGGACTGTCCTGTTATAACTCAGAAAACAAGGAAAGTACAGGATAGACTGGCAGGGGTGCTGCCTGATCAGTGGCCTCCTGCCCAGACTCATTTGCATGTAACAGCCCAGCCATACACAGCAACAGAATTGATGGATTTAGTACAGCGATTTTGGCAGAAGCCTGGAGAAAGCATGCCACCTTGGTTATTAAAACTGTGGGATTCTGGAGCAGAAAGTGTTATGGTGAACGGCCCGGAAATATCCAAGTGGGCCACCATGACTGTCCATCCTGCCCTCAGGCAGAGGTTATATGCAGGTGTTCAATATCTTAATGAAAACCATTCTATAATAAAATGGTTAATGGCCTGCTGTATGGTATGGCCAAATAAATCTGATATACCTCTACATACAGGGATGTGGTCCTACATAGAAGACTGTCAAAATTATATGCACAAATGGGGCATAAGGGAAGCAATTTATGAAGACACTTTTGATGGCCATGATATGGTCAAATTCTCAGAGAGGATGAGAGACTTGATTCTACAGCAACCCCCCCTCCCATTTATATGGCACTCAGGTCTCTATATTAAATCCCCTGGTAGCCTCAGAAGCGATAGTCCAGCAGGCTGCCCAGTTGGTGGCTGACTTATGAGAAACAGAATGCCTACAGACTAGGCACAACATTCTGACATTAGAAGAAGCCGAGGTCCTGTTGGTGATTAAAACCAAGAGGCTGGCTACTTGAGCTCCTCAATCAGGATCCCTAAGGGTTTCCCGAAAACAAACATTTAATGATTTAATTCGGGCTGGCATCCAATTTGCTAAAATTGACAACCAGCTGAATCATGTCCTTGACCCTCTAGACAAGTAAAGCTCATTTCCTGAGATAATTAAACTAGTCTCTGTATATGTGTGATGCCTTTAAGAAATGTCCCTGACTGTACCAAGAATGGCTGTATCCAGCTTCTGTCATTCACTCTCTATTTTAATCTTTACATCCCCCCAGAAGTCACAGGTGTCAAGGAAGTCTATGGACTAATTTTTTTCTTTCGTTTTTTTTTTTTTTTTTAGCTTACTCTCATAGCACTGACGGATTAAAAATGGGACCAAAGGCCTGAAAACTATATTGGAACGTAACTAAGATCTGGAAAATAAGCCCTATTTGCTCTGTAGTCAACCTTGCCTACTTTAAATGCACTACCT